ATTCTTTGTTTTCGTTTTTCGTTTCTATTCTTTGTTTTCGTTTTTCGTTTCCATTCTTTGTTTTCGTTTTTCGTTTCCATTCTTTGTTTCCATTCTTTGTTTTCGTTTTTCGTTTCCATTCTTTGTTTTTGTTTTTCGTTTCTATTGTTTGTTTTTATTGCGGGATACTATTAAATAATGGGTTTTCTGACTTATAACTAGTCATGGTAGAGATTGCAAAATTTATGACGAAGACGAGGTCTGCTTCCCAACTCAACTCTGACATGGACATGCAACGACGAAATTTCAACTTGTCTCTCGAGGTGCAAAAAGTGACGAAAAACGTGGAACAAAAGGAAAAGCGAGAAAATTCATACAGCACAGCAGGGCAGCTTCACGAAAGACCCTTCAATATCCTCAGTTCATACTTCATGTGGATGACGACGAGTGTTCATCTAAAAAGAGACAAGAAAATCTACAAAGATCCCGTACTAGATCCACGAAATCAGATTGATGAAATAAATCGCCGAGCCTTAGAAGAAAATGCTAGGAGAATTGTCGAGCGGGTCGCGGAAATTGAAAAAATGAAAGAACCTGTCACAGCGCAAAATTGCATCAAATACAGTTGAAAACAATACAATCGAAATAGAAGTAGAGCCGTCGGTTATAGTTCTTTAAGATTTCCTCTTTGCTGCCGATCCGAAAATCACCTCCCTGCCTCAAATTCGCCCGCTTCCAGTCCGTCGTCAGCCAGTGTTGTTTGTGATGTGTGCGTCTCTCTAATACTGCATCGTACGGGGAGACACCACGCACGGGGGCAACTGTGTTGACTACTACCGGAAGCCAGTTCATGAAACGTTTCAATATGTAGTTGCGTGAAAATGCTTCCAATTCTGCAGGACCTCAACACAACGCGTAATTTGTAGACATAATATCTTCACGCCCTAGTAGAGTACTAATAGCGCCTTCCGCTGCACTATAGTCTCCGTCACTGTCACACTTCTCAAATTATAATTCTGTTGGCTGCATAAAAATTTCTCTTTGTTCTACTCCAACTTTTGATTTGCAGTTTTACACACTGCTTGAGCCTCACCCTCACCCGACCCGTTGTATCCGAGTGTCTTTGTCCGAGAATTCAAAGTCCTCGACCCGCAAATTTGTTTCCCAATTAACGATAAAACCGAGGCAAACAACCTAGTTTTCGCAAGAACATTCTGGGGCTGCTCAACAAGGACCACCACTTCATCTGGAGCTGCAAAAAGCTGCATAGAGCTGAGTGCACCGGGCAAGGCAGACGAGATTGTTTTTTCCGGGAGGACATCAAGTGACGACGTTTATTTCCGCAACCTAGTAAGAAAGTTGTGCGCGGCCTTCTACCGACGTTGAACAGTAAAAATCCAACGACCATCATCTTCTTCGCGAGGATGATTTAATATTACAACATCTAAACGCTAGTAGTTGTTGAAGGAATTTTTTAAACCCAACAAGAAGTACTGGATCGCCTAGCGATCCTGTGCCTTGTTCATTTGTTTGCGAAAAGAGAAAGAGCAATTCTAATTGGTTATATCAAGAAAAGCATTAAAAATGGGTGACGTTAACTCGGACGATTTCTATAAAGTGCTCGGAGTGGAGAAATCCGCGGACGACAAGGCGATCGCGAAAGCCTACAAGAAAGCCGCACTAAAATGGCACCCCGACAAGAACCCGGACAACAAGGAGGCCGCGGAGGAGAAGTTCAAGAAGGTAACCGAGGCCTACGAGGTGCTCTCCGACAAGGAGAAGAGAAAAATGTACGACCAGTTCGGGAAAGCGGCTTTCGAGCAGGGCGGCGGTGGCGGTCCCGGCGCCGGGCCAGGCGGGATGCACTTCTCCTCCGGCGGCCCCGGAATGTCCTTCAACGATGCGGACGCGATTTTCCGAGCGTTTTTCGGCGGCGGCGACCCCTTTGACGGCGGCTTTGGCGGCGGCCCAGGGGGCAGCGGGATCCACATCCAGTTTGGCGGCGACGGGTTCGGGCCCATGGGGATGGGAGGTGGTGGTCCCATGGGCGGCATGCGAATGGGCGGCGATCCTTTTGCACAAATGCGCGGCAAGGGCGGCGGGAGAGGCGGTGGTCCCCATCAACAGCAGGCCGTGCAACAGGGTCCAAATGAAATCCCCATCGGGCAAAAGGTGATCATCCAGAACCTGCAGACGCAAGCGCAGCACAACGAGCGCGCGGGCACTATTCAGTCGTACGACAAGGAGAAGAACCGATACCTGGTCGCTTTGTCAAACAACCAGACGCTGTCCCTCACCCCGGACAAACTCGCTCTCGAAGTCGAGGGTGTCACGCTAACGAACATCAGCAGCAAGCCAGCTTTGAACGGGAAAAAGGGCAAGATTCTGAAGTATGACCGGGAAAAGGACAGGTACACAGTGCAAGTATTCGAGGAGAACACCGTTATCGCGATCCCGACCGCCAGCGTCATCCTGCCAAAACGAACCGCGGTGCAGGTCGTTGGCCTTACGGGTGCCACACAGTATAACGAGAAGTGGGGCACCATCGCTTCCTACGACCCTAACGAGGAGAAGTACACGGTGCAACTCACGAAAGATCGCAGTCTGAAGCTGAAGCGCGGAAATTGTCGAGCCGCAGGCTAGTGGTTCCTCGTCCTACTACTTATTTGTTTCCGTCTGCGGGGCCCACGGAGCAGGCGATCATTATTTGTCAATTTGTACCGCCGCCCAGCAGCTCTACGTCTACGCACGCCGTCCCAGCTCAGAGAATCATATTTTCCTCCTCGCGGCCCTTGGTGAGATAGAAATTGCAGAAGTGATCGACTACACAACAAGTTTCGGGTCCTACCATAAAACTACGTTATTGCAGAGGTGAAGACCACTCCATCCACAACCACAACATATTGCAGCTGATTTCTTCCTGCACGTATTCGCTTTATTCGCGCCGCCCGCACACATAACTTCTACCCCTGTATTGTTCCGATATTTTTCCCGGTGCCCAGCCGGAGAGGAGAAGTCACGAATCCTGTGCCGCATGGAGCGTGGTGACGCAATTCGGCAGGCGTGATCATTCCGATCTCGAACAGCGACAATCTTCATCAGGAAACTCTGTGGCGTGGCGGACTTGTCCGATCGAAAATGGTTTGGCAACAGAGGTAGAACGCTTCTTTTCTCCCTCTGTTGCTTACCTCGTAGTCGGGCCGAATATCATCTTCCGCCTCACGAGGACCGGACCCCTTTTCAAATTATGAGAAAAGCATGAGGCGAAGGCGCGTCGCCACGTCGCAACCTGTAGTGCAAGCGGCCGGTGGTCCTACTTTTCTCGAGTGACGCTTATCGCTTCATCCAGCTGTTGAGCGACGAGACAGCTGCGGAGCGTGGGTTAGCCTTCTCTCGGACTGTTCACGAGTGCCGGTCGTGTCCTGCTAATCGTTGCAGCAACGACCGCGTCACTAACCAGCGACTGGTCTCCTGCTGTGGATCAAGGTGGTTGACTTCCACCGACTTCCCGCCGGGCAGCGGCGCCGAAGATGAGGAGTTCTGCGAAATGCGAAATCTGCTCGCTCTCCAGATTTATTTCATCTCATGTCCCAAAAACTTTACATCCTACTCATCATGATTGTACCTATTGTTCCCGACATCTGTGAATCGCATTTATTACACTAATGGCTCTTCATGAAGACATTCGTGTCAATCGTGACACCGGGCATTTTTTTTTCGGCAGAGGACCTGTGTGTCGTACCGTCAAAGTGTTCGCAAATAATTTATCCCTTCGTTTTTTATTCTCCGTCGTCAACCATGCATCAACTTCGTACTCCGGAAGAACTATTATTTCCATCGGTTCTTCTTCCTCTTGACGCCGGCTACAGATGAGAAAGCTGCTCGGTAATTCGTTCTTTTCGCACTGTCTCCACCTGTGTTGAGTATGTACCTACATTCGGCCCGTTTTTTGCTTTATTTCTGAAGCAGCGAATGTCGACGTCCGGAAGTCAGTGAGAAAAACTAAAGAACACACTCTGTATGTTGTTTCCATTGGAACAATAAACAACGCCAGTAAAACACAGAGTCGGTAACGTGCGAGCCTTTGAAGGAATCGTTTTCGTTCAGCATCTGTTTGAGAAACTGACCTGGATGGAAAAGTCGTGCAAGCGACCCCTGTACTCAAATCCGCTGTGGCATCGTTCTTAACAGGTACCCCGGACCCCTTTCATGCATCCCCAGGATTTTCCTCTGCCGGTCGTTGTGTACTGATTCGACGAGATTGTTGTAGTTAGCATATAGCTAGAAACAAATGTACCCTCCGTAGAAAACACGAGCAGACACCTCCAGGACTAGCTAATACGACTACCGAAACCGATATGGCACGTCCATGATAGATTTTCGCCGACCCGTGTTCTTGGAACCATTCAGAGTACAGTATGAGTAGCTAGTTGTAAACGTACCAGTTTGTCTGTCTGTACCCCGCATCTTTTTGCACATTGATTGTATGTACTTACTTCTTCGTTCCCCGTAGTAGTTCCCGGCAAGAGTTCTCATCCGAAGAAATCGGCGCCTCCCGCTCAGTACGCTTACTTCCTCAAAATCATATACAACTGAAAAAAGAGTGTGAATAAAATGTTGCACGGTTTTGTGAAAGGGCCCGCGTTCCTGATTTCGACGCACCTGGGGTTGCTGTTCGCGGTTTCTTACGTAGTGACGTTCCTTGCGAACGTGTTCGACTCTCCGACGGCCACGCAGTCGCTGCTGGATGGCGCGATCGAGACCCGACACATCTGCGGGCTCGCCTACATCTGGCGCACGCGTAGCACTGTGTCCGACGTGTTGCCCTACATCCTGTCCTCGAGTGGCACCGCATCAACCTATCAGTCGTACGCAAGTAGTGCAAGTTCCGTCGTGTCCGCCACGTTGCGTGGCCGGACGGCAGCTTCTGCCGCAGGAGGTGGATCAACAACATTATCCAGTGGAGCCTCGTCGTGGGCCAGCTTCCTCGCCCCTTTGACATCAAGTTTGAAAAACCAAGCGGAGGAAGAGGATATCAGCGGAGGAACAGACAATTTCAATTCTGGGGCGTCGAGTGGTCGGTCCACTCGAAAAATAAAACACCAGAACGAATCTTCCGACGCCTCGTCAGGTCTGGCCAGAGCAATTTCGCTTCTGCTGGAGACGGCAAACGATCCCGTTGCAGCGGCACCGGGAAATACTCGATCAGCAGGTACTTATCATGGTGGCTTCAGCAGTACTCAACATGGTTCGTGTTTTTCTTTTTGGAACTGATTTTATATTTTTGCCTCCATGTTGTCGGAAGTAGTTGCTCGTATCGCTATCGTCGGTGTCTTTCTATAAAAATCCAGGTGCCCTCCTATCCTTTCCGCCCTTGTTGAATATGACGGGTCTGGTTCAGGGCCTCCCAGTACGATTCCAGGAACTACCTCCCGAAGCTTCAAGGGACAACAGACAAGACCCTGAATCCATAGCGGACGTAATGGAACATCTTTTTCCACCGCGGGGGCAAAAGAGGCGACTGTTCCAGCGCGACGTTTTTTCATCCGTCGAAGATTCGGGGCTGGCCGGCGACGCGGACGGCGGGAGTATGAATGACAGTACAGCAAAACGTCGTGGCGCGCCCGAAGATCTTCCTGGTGGGGCAGTAAACACAAATGCAACTGCAGGCACGACTGCTGCACACAATTATACTCCGAGTAACGACACGAAAGACCGAAGAATCGGGACCCGAACTCCTGAAACGATTGAACAAACTACAAGCGCCCTATTCGATCTCGACGAGGATGATTCCGAATCCTCCGAGACCGAGGCATTGTTCGACCGCATGCTCGCACGCGCACAGCGAAAGCCAGTGGAAAGAAGAACCAATAAAAGTAGTGCCCGACAACTTGGTGCCACTACGGATGACGACGGCTACTACCCTCCAACCTTCGACCTGGACCCCGAGGACCAGGAGAGCCTCCAGCAGCTTTTGGCGGAACAAGGAGAGCTGCCGGCCAATTACCGCACCTCGATGCAGCAGCTCCTGCGCAGTGCCGCTTCAACCTCGTCGTCCGGCAGGAGCTCCTCGAGTAGTAGCAATATCAATTCCGAAGGTCGTGGAGGTTCCTACGACTGCTTCTCGAGAGCCACGAAGAGGCCCCAACCGGATCTGTGCGAGGCAATCTGCGGCATGTACGTAGACTTGTCCGAATTGAGCACAAACAATGGCAATGCTTCTGCCGGCGGAGCAGGGTTGTACAAAAAGTTTCCCTTTTCCCGGCCGCTCTTCTCCCTTTGCCACCACACAACGCACCTGTTGTTGGGCTTTGGGTTGCTCGCGCTCGCCGCGCGTGTGGAAATGGCCCGAATCACGGGGCAAGCCCACCTGCAGGACACATTCTGGCGGCCGATTTCCAAGACGGTGCTCAGCTTCTGGCTGTACGTGTTCGGCGAGTCCGTTTTGCGGTTTTCCTTCCTGGAAAAGACCATCGTCCCCGTGCTCGGCAACAGCAAGTCGTGGACGCTGTTCAGCGTCTTCGCCATCGAAGTACAGCAGGCCGGGTTCTTCTTTGCCTGCGTCACCTGTGCCTTCGTCTTCTTTGTCAGCTTTGGGTTCGTATTGGCGCGCGTGTACCAGGCGGTCGCGGGCAGTGTGCGGTTTCTGTTGCGACTCCTCCGCTTCCTGTGTTTTCACACCACGCTGGACGCACGGAAATTCGTCTCCAAACCCGCTGACAACGAGAAGGACGTGTGTGCCATCTGTCTGTGCACGCTCCATCCAGAAGATGACGATATTGCTCAGCCCGTCTGTACTCCGGCGGATGATGATCATGTGCCAGCAGCATCTTCCTCACATCCTGGAGCCGGCCTGCGCGCAAGGCTAACGCAAAGATACCTCAAGCCGATAGGAGAAGCGCGAGGAAACACTGCTAGTGTACTTCGAGTAGGAAGTAGAACTATGGGGGGCCTGCAACATGACGCAGAGCATCTTCTAGGGAGAGACCTGAATGCGGATCGTGCAAGCAATGGTGGCCTCCCCCAGGCCGATCCTGATGGCTACGACGAGGAGGCAGACGTCGACGGAGATTATGGTCGCGAACCGGACTTCTCAGACGGTCCGGCGGTGCTCCTGCGCCATTATTTGAGTAGATTTGTGCGCTACATTGGACGAAGAATAGATCTCCTATCCCGGCGACACGGCGACGGCAACTTGCTGGACGATAATTTTTCGGAAGAGTACAGCGCGTACTACGCGAGAAGTACAACTTACAAGGACGACCTCCTTGAGCAGGACACTGACCCATACTTTCTTTCCAGCAACTGCAACTACAACTCTAGTGGACCACAGCAACAGGCGCGTAGTACCAAAAACAAATGTTCGACTATCTCCCAGGTCAGGCAACGATTTGCAGCTCTGATTTGGCCACATCTTGAACTTATTTCCGGGGAGATGAATGATGCGGAAGCAAATGAAGCAGACGAGCCGCGGGCAGACGCAGAAGTGCTTGCCCAGACCCAGAACAGCAGCACGAGCAATCGGGGCATTCTGAGCGTTTCTCGTGCGTTTCCGCAGTACCGCACGGCTTTCGAGACGCAGCCCTACCGAAAGCAGAACGCACTTTTGCAGTTGAACAAGTGCAACCACATGTTCCACCTGGGCTGTCTCTCCGAATGCTACAAGGGAGCGAAGTACCGCAACCGGTCGAGCTGTCCCCTCTGCCGCACCGTCAACGAGCGGACCGCGTGGCGCACGGAGACACTGTTCTGGGAAAAGCCGAGCATGAACACGGAGCTCAGCCAAGCAGCGGTCAGGAGCGCCTATGGTGCGACAACTACTACGTCAAATGCAAACGATTTGCTGGACCCCACGACAACCGGTGCAGCGGCCACAACGACGATGTTGAACAACGCGCGAAACAGAAGTACTGCGGCCGCAGTGGTCAACACGGCGTTTTTCCAAAGCAGCATCCGGTACACCATGCGGTTTCTGCGAGAGCTGATGGACTTTCTCGGGCAAGAGGTCGACTTTTTGTACCTCGGGTTGCTGCTTTACCTCTTCTTGATCGCATTTTCCACGACTATTCTCTTGGAATTCTTCGTTTACGCCGTCACGGGGTTCGCGGAGGTGCTGCGACAGTGTCACCTGCTGCTCGAGGTCGCCTACCAGCACCACGACAATCTGCATCGAGCACACCATAGTACTGTCGCTACCGCCTCAAACACTTTGCGCCGCAGCGGAATTATGGAACACACTAGAGGACACAGTAAAAATCCGGTAACAGGACTACATCAAGAGGCAGCTGCACGACCCCATGACGCGGCGCAAATTGAGCTTCGGGTCAAAAATAGCCAGGATGTCCACCTGCAAGTTGGTATATCCAACGAGGCGATTCCGATTGTGCCATCGGATAATTTTGGCACTTCCGCATCTAGCAGCAGTGGTAGCTCCATCACCCGCAATTCCGGACCTAAAACCGAACTTCTCACGTCACTGAAGCAGGACCTCAACGAGGCCAAAAGCGGAATCATCATGCCCGGGACGAGTAGAAGCAATAAAGCATATCTATCGTCTGCGAAACTACACGGTCGTGAAGCTGGGGACAGGCTCATGTCGCATTGGCAGACGCTCGAGCCGATAGTTGAAGAATCCGAAAAGAACGACCCTGCTGCCAACATCCCAGACGACGTACTAGAGAAGAAACTCCCTGTGGATGAAATCACATCCACAGCTGAAGTGGTTGACAACTATAATAACATAGACGCAAGCAGCGACTCTCTGGTCATTGAGGACATCAGTACTCCTGAGGCGAAAGTTTCATCGGATTTTTCTGCGTACTATCTGCTCGACGGCGATGCGGACCCTTCGATCCTTCCTGGTGAAGCGCTCGATCGGGCCTACGAAGCGCTAACAGGCCCGGAAACTACTACTGCCTCACCCGCGCACGACCAACGCAGCTCGACTTCTACAGATGAAATATTGCCTGTTGAAGGAGAGGGAGTTCCTGCAGGCGAGAAAAAGATTGATGCTCTTGACGGTAGGAACAACCTGAACCATTTTGCTACGCCTGGCTCTGTTCCACTTGAAGATAATCCAGCACCAGAAGCTAGTTTGCAAGAATTTCCGCAGGACCACAACATCAGCGACCAGGTCATCGTCCAAGCAGAACCGCCGCCGGAAGACACTGGAGTGATGACCGCACGAGACTTCCGGCTTCTGAAGGCCCAACGACAAATAGCGGAGAGCATGCACCAAATTGAAATACAGCGACGGGCGCACGACGTAGAAAATGACCAGAAAAGCCACATTATACCTGAAGAAGCAGTTACTGAACATGAGGACCTCGTCCCGGGAGAAGTACATGCATATACAACTAATCCGGGTGTGGCAACAACTGTGAGCCCGCCGTCAACCGCCGGCCCGGACGCTTTGACATGGCTGTTGCCCCTTCTCGTACGCGAAATGGTGAATACAACCGCCCTGTTCGTTGCGCAGCACCCGCAGCGAGAACAGCAAGCGCAGCAGCCACTCCTGGAACAACATCAGACTCCTGTCGCGCAAATATACCACACGGCTTCGGCGCACCACGAGCAGGAACACTACGACGCGTACGCTCAAGTGGCACGAGAACTACAGCCGGATTACGACTACTACGTGGGTAGTTCTTCTACCACCGGCGGCATTTCGTCCAATGAGAGCGGAGGACCACGGACCTTCATTTTCGACTACGCCTACACATCAGCGTCCAACGGGCCGCAGCTGCCCGATCAACTGGCGGCGCGCGCACGCCTCCGTTTCTGGCTGGTGTCGAACCTGACCAAATCCCAGTTGTTCTGCCTCTTCCTCACGCCGGCCACATTTCTGCTCGCGTTCTTACTCCTGTACGAATACCGCTCCTTGCTCGAGTGGATCGGGCGGCGGTGCGCTTTCTGGTACCTCCGGTTTTTCGGCGAGCGCTGGACGGTCCGCGTCCGGCCCGCGGATCAGCAGGCCTTGCACATGAATTTACCGCCCGCAGCTCCTGCTGCAAACGCGCAGAGTGTAGTCGACGTCGACCCTCCTGCAGGGGGCACCACGACCACCTCCCCGTCGACTGGAGTTGTAGGACAACCGTTCGCAGCGGGTAGTACTAGCGCAGCACCGCAAGGTCATCTTCACGCCGGAGCAGGAGCAGGAGCTGGAGATGGTCCTGGTCTACTTGGTTCGCCCCTTTCAGCACACGCTATAAATCCTCCCGCGGGGCCGCAACCGCAACAGGATGATACCGAGGCATTTTTGGACAACGTCGTGTTTGCTGCGGAGGATGCTGAACAAGGCGCGCCGAGTGAGGAAGATTCGTCGTCACTGATGTTTGTGCTGGCAGAGATGTCAGATATGACAGATTTAACAGACGACGACGACACGAATCAAAACGGCCAACCCGCGAATCTTCAAAATGGCGGTAATGCGGGCGATGGAAACAACGGTGCGAATAACCAGGGCGCGGCGCAGCAGGTCGTCCAGGTGAGCCTGCAGAACTTTCTGATTGTCTTCGTGGTTGCCCCCATCCTGAACTGCGCGTGCGAGGGTGCGCGCCTCTTCTATGCGCACGTGTTGCAGAAGCTGTTCAATTGGGCACTGCAGGCGGGCAAAGAGGTTCTGCACGAGGCCGTCACGGCTGCCAACGCCGAGGTCTTGCCCGCCTATTTCTCCGCAAAGAAAGCAGCGAAGCTCATCCGGCGTTCCGTCAGACCGCAACTCGATTCCTTGCAAGTGCACCCAAGACTCAAGACACAGTTGTCCACTACAACTGCAGCCTCGATCATTTTTGACGGACGCGAAATCGCCGGGCAAAGAAACGAAAGAGGAACTTCTCCGGCCGCACAAATGGTTGACACTTCTCCTTTGCAGGACCACCGGTTCGTTCCGAGGAATCTCCTGCTGGTAGCGCGCAAGCTGCCAGCGACGGTCACATATCCGGGTGTCGATGCGACGCGAAGTCCAAATGATAAACCAGAACACGACGTCGAAATAAATGCACCGAGCGACGACGAGGTAGTTTCTGACGCCCCTTCCGAGGAGGCGGAGTCCGAAGTGTCTGTATCGAACCTGCCGAGCTTCCACCCCGCAGCCGTGCTCCGGCGACGGCGCGAGTCCACCTTCGGGTCCGACCGCCGCAGATGGCAAAAGCGCATCACCACCTTGAAGCAACAGAACGAACGCCAGCTGCAGCGCGTCAGAAGTACTAGCTGCAGCTCTTCAAACAGTAGCGGGAACAAGAGAAGTCCGAATAAAGCCAGCAGCGAGGATCATCAGCAAGAACTTCTAGCTTCCGCCACTAGAGGCGTAAATCAAAGGCAAACTCCCCTAGGAAAAGCCGAGCAGCCGTGGGACAACGCCGCGGCCGAAGACCATTTTTCCACGGGCAGTCCGCTGGTGGACCACGTGGTGTGTCGTCTGCGGCAGTTGGCTAAAGCTACTGCTTTTGTTTGGCACTACTGCACGGTGTTGACGTTTCTGTTGCTGCTTAAGCTGTTGCACCTGGTGTGCATTCAGTTTGTGCTGGTTGAGGTCCTGCTCCGGTTTCCGATGTGGATCTTCGGAGCGTCGCCGGCAGCCCTGCCGCGAAGCTGGACCCGCCTGCCCAAACGAAGCGTTCAAATCGAATACTACCCCGAGTCAGACACCGAAGGCGATCTTTTTCCACAGGAAGACACGCAGAAAAGAATCAACGAAGATCATAACGCAGGTGTCGGAAGCGAAAACGCGGAAATGCAGCCACCAGAAGCGAGTATTACGACTACGGCTACTTTGCTCAGCGTCTTGTGGCGCTGCGTGCTGCCGGTGCTGCGGTTCGGGATCGCCGATGCCTTCGAGTCTTTCATTCCGGACGATAATGTGGAAAACTGTAGCGACCAGATGGCGAATCAGAGTAGAAGCTCCAGTAGTAGTTCCAGGGAGCAATCCCTTTCTCCGGATCATTCGCCCTCCGACATATGCAGGACCTGCGACGATGATGAGCAACCACAAAGAACTAGCGCGGACTCGGGGGAGATAGCAGATGATGCCATGCTAGGAGATGAAGATGAAGCACAAGAACCCGACGACCCCGCAGCGTCGCCGCCGGAAAACCGGCCCCGCTCGCCGTTGCTAGTGGCTCTGGGGCGGTGGTTAAGATTCTGTCGGGGGCTCTTTTGCCCGCGCCGCAGTTTGAGCGAACTGTTGGGGCGGTCGAACGCTTCGCAGCACCAACTGATTCTGTTCCCGCTCGGCCGAGCCGCACACGATCCAGCGAACTTCATCGAGGTCGTTTTCATGCGCGCTTCCGCTTTGCAGCTGACCTTCAGTCGGCGAGTGTTCCTGTCTCTGCTTCTCAGCTACCCGCTCGCCTACTGCATGGTGCGATGGTACGCCTGGACTCACTTGGTCTACATCCTGCTGCTGCTCTTCCCGCTGCTGCCACTGCCGACGCTCTCCGTTGCGGGGCTCTTCAGCGACAGCTGAAATAGAACACGGACAGATTCTGTAGAATTGTGTAAAAATTGTAAGATTTTTCGCGTCTTTCAGCACAGTCGTGTCCGAAAGTGCTGGTTGTACGTACTCACTTGATTACCCAATCTGCCCAAGTTTGCAGCATTTGCGAATTTTTGCGTTTGTACAATCAATTGCGCATACAGGGAAATGAAGCCCGAATGAACCTCTACAACACAAACAAAAGCAAGAAAAACAGGCTGATATACTGCCTGTTGCGCAACAACAAAAGACGCCGTGTTCGACTCGTCCTACCAAGCTGTCCTCCGAAAGAAACTCACGCCTTTCGCACTACCTGCACATAAGATACTTGAACCCCCGCCTTTGAGAATGGCTTTCAGTTCCCGTTTGAGCAGTCAGGTGCGCGTAAAAGTCACAGAAGATCAAAACCTCGAGAGCGCACTACTGATCCGTCATTTTCTCCTTGATCTTCGATCACGTTAGTAGAGCAACGAAAATGATTCCAGCGTCGCTTTATTGCACGGTGCACATCGCGTATTATCTCTGGTACGGGAACCCGGTTCACGATGGAAAGTGGATGCATTGGGACCACAAGACCCTCCCGCACTGGGACCCGAAGGTGGACCAACGGCACGAACACAAAACGCGCCACGCTCCGGAGCAGGACCGCGGACATGCCAAGTACCGGCCGCTGCGCGGGTGGTACAGCAGCCGCGATTCTGCAGTGATGGAGGAGCACATGCGGGAGCTGGCGTCTATGGACATCGACAGCTTTATGTTCTCCTGGTGGGGCCGCCCCGACGTGTCCAAACGCGACGACGCGGATTCCGGGGCCGATACGGATCAGCTGGTGGACATGGCACTGCAGCTCGGCGCGAAACGCGGCGTGAAGTTTTCCTTCCACGTCGAGCCGTACGGCGGTCGAAGCCCGGAAACGTTTCGCCAGGACGGCGAGTACATAGCGCAAAAGTACTTGACGGCTCTAAAGTCCACCTCGTCTCCAAAAAGCGAAGGCTCGTCGGAGCACCAAAACCTTGCGTTTTTTGTGTACGACGTGAGCAGCCGGCACACACCTAACCTGCAGGAGAAACTCGAGTGGCGGCAGACTCTCGAGTACCTGAGAAAGCTTTTCACGGAAACGTACCAGGTGACGCCCTATTTCTTCTGCCTCTGGATCGAAAACATGAGAGACGTGGTCTTTGTAAAAGAGGTCGGCTTTGACGGCGGCTACTCCTATTTCGCGGCGAATGGTTTTACTCCCGCCAGCTCCCCTGCGGCAAACTGGGAACAGATGCCGGTGGACCACTTTGTCCCGAGCGTTGGGCCCGGCTACGACGACGTCCGGATTCGGCCCTGGAACGCGCACAACGTGCGGCCGCGTCGGGAAAGTGCCTACTACGACGACATGTGGCAACGCGCGATGCCCTTCAACATGGTCACCATAACCAGCTACAACGAGTGGGGAGAAAGCACGCAAATCGAGCCGGCCTTCGACTTCAAGAACGTAAGCAGTGCTGGTGCTGTCGATGAAGAAGCATTAGGGTCTGCTGCTCTCGCCAGTGCTTCTAGCTCTGCAAGTAGCTACTACGACCAGTATCCAGAAAACAATGCCTATTTCTACACTGACAGAACTCGTGCCTGGGTGCAGAGGTACAAGGCTGAATGCCGCAACAGACTAGGAATAGATAGTGATGATCGCGTTGTAGATTCAGGGAAAAACCTCGCAGACAAAAAAGCGGAGGAGCTGTAGCACAAGAACTTCTTTGGTTCGTAGTCGTTGAAGAAACGACTTGCTGTTTGTGCAGAGATCATTTCTGCACACTGTAGTACGCCTTGTTCTGTAACCCCTAACTGATCATCTATTTTCTGCTTCATTCTAACCGGATTTTTGTTTGAATTCTTTCTGCAATTGTGTTTTAATATTGCGTCGCCGGTTCTACTTCTAACAATTGTTCTCCACCCCGACGTACATCGACCTCTTAGCGGTTGCACCAACAAGCAGAAACCATGCGGGTTGCACGCGCAGCCGGCGTGTCAGTGTTGCTGCTCCACGCCGTGGCTAACCATTCGGTCGACGCGCTGGGGCTCTTGCACAAACTGCGCCACACCAAAACCTCCTCCTCTTCCAGCAAGAAGCGCGACCCGCCCCCGCATCCGACGGAAGTTGAGAATGCCGAGAAGGCGGAGAAGGAGAAGCAGAAAGGGCTCAAGGACCCTGTAAAGTTCGAGAAGTACCATGATGGCCTGGGCGAACTCGGGGCCGTCTTGTACGCGATCGGCTGTGGGCGCAAGTTCGAGCCCAGCCAGGAGCTGACCAAAGCCGTCTCCGGGGGTCCTCAGGGAGGTGCGCCCTCCTCCGACGAGGAAGATGCGCCGGAGAAGGCGCTCGCGAATGAGGGCAAGAACGCCGAGAAGCAGGTGAACGACTTCAAGGAGCAGTGTCGAAAGATGAATCGGAAAAGGTTCCAGAGCTGCCAAACCTACAACTGCGCGGCCGAGATGAAAAACTGCGACAAGGCCTGTGAGGGGAAGTTCAATCAGGACAATGCGTACTGCCAGGACCACGCAAACCAACTGAAGGACTTGTACATGAACACCCAAGCGATGAGCAAAGCCAAACACGACTGCGTGGTCAACCACTGTCCCAACGTGGGCGGTCAGGTCCTGTCGAAGGTCGCGCGAGAGGACTTCAAGGACGAAGCTGCGAAAAAAGCCTTTCAAGCCAAGGCCGCTGAGGAGCCCTGTACTTACTACTTCTTACAGTGACAATACATTGCTGCGTCGTCCTTAGTGCGTGTGCAAGCACACGACCACCCTCGTCTGCACGCTTTTTTGTGTTGCAGGAGTATGTCGACGTCCATTGTTTTCTGTTCAAAGATGAGAGCTGCTGCAAAGCACAGATTTTGATTATACATAAATCGTATCATGCCTGTGGTGCTTATGCTACTTCTAACGATCACAACCATTCCAGGTAAGGGAGACGGAAAGTGCAAGGAGAAGTGCAAAGTGAACGAATTGTTCCAGTGTACGAAGGCCGCCGCAAAAGAGTATGGCACGAAGTCAATGTTTCAGTGGTGTGTGGGCATGTTCCACGACTGGCAGAAGACCGAGGAAGTCAACCACGAAACCGGGCACCCGGCACTGCGCTGATGGACCGCACCCGTTGAGCTACTGTCTTGCGAGTTGTGAATAAACGAATGCCAGCATCAAAAATCCCACAACATTATTGCATGTATGATAATGATTTTCGAGCAGCCAAAAACTGGGTATTACCATGGTACAAACACCGACGTGACTACCTATTCTCTTTTCCCATTGTGAACAACCGATCCGGAGACATTAATTTTGGTCTGTTTCTTGTTTGAGCCAAAAGCGGCCCTTCGGTCGGTGTGCGACCTGTGGAAACGTGCCTGCTTGCAACCCGTACTGTTCGTTCCTGGAAAAATGCGGCACACCAAAAGAGTTGAAGAACCGGTACGTGTGGACTTCTACCATAAATTTAAGCGCAACAGAATTTAACAAGATATGAACATACGCGTTTCATTGTGGAAAATAAAGAGGTCGTGTAGTTTCGTGCGCGCGGCCCACTAGCCAGCGAGTGTGAGGGAGGATTTAGCTAGAAATAGAATTCTTTTTGCTTTACATACTCGCGAATATCATTCGAGAGCATGATGAGTGCTAAGATGGTACAGATGGTTCCTGATTCCGGTCTGGACCGAAGGCAGCACCCGCGTCGCTGTCCACCTCGGCCACCCGCGCATCCGAGTCGCCTGGCAGCTGCCAGTACGAATCTGGATCAAACGGTTAAAATGACCGTAATGTCATCTAAAGGCAGACCTTCCCCACCAACTCAGAAACCCCACGATAATTTGGCACGAACGCAGGCTGCGAGCAGCACGAAGACGTACAACCGCTCGTCTGAACTAGACCGCACATGCTTGAGCAACACTTGCCCCGCTCGAAATTCTGCCAAGGAAAATCAATCCGCCCCGATGGTCCGGGCATTTTCACCCGCTCTCCGAACAATGCTGCACCAGCGACCGGTCGCGACCAGTCGCTCCCCACCGCGATTGCTAACCACTGCAACTACCGCAATAACTGCTGCAGCGACCACTGGCATCGCGAAACCGCAGCGCGGCCCACCGAGTTCTTGTTCTCTCAGTGTTACAGCCTCGCCGAGAATTGTGCCCTCGTCCTTCCGCCGCGGAGGCTCTCCACTCCCGACCTGCCGACCGCTAATCGCGCCGTCAAGTCCCCGCATCGAAACAGGGTGGAACACGGCTCGGACGACGACGCGCGGAACTACAATCTCCGCGAGCAGGGTGCTCCTGTCTTCGCCGCAGGCGAGCAACCCGCGGCCACCGGGAGCAGCAACTGCAGCTGGGGTAGTTTTCACGACGCGTCAATCCTCTCGAAAGTCTGAGCCAAAGCAGGATCCCCTTATTCGGGCATCACCTGCGAAGGAAGCGGAACGCGAGCCCGGGCGTGCAGCTCTTGCGGTTACTCCAACAACCGCAGCGCCTTCCCCAATGGACGATGATGTTCTTGCCGGCGCCGACACTCTAGCCAGGTCCAACAAAAAACCTGTTGCGGTAGCGGATGGCGAGGACGTGAGTAGCAAAGCTGAGCTGTGGGAGAAGAAGTGCCGTTGTTTGCAAATCGAAAACTTTGCTTTGCGGAAAGAGGTGGAGTATCTGAAATCACGAATTGTATCGCTTTTGCAGGAACAGCGAGCTGCAGGCGAGTGAAGCATGAAAAAGGGATTCTAGAATTCTGCAGGACGAACAATCATCCGAACTTTCTGTCGCCCCGCCCAGGTGCACCTCAGAGCAACGCAGATGATGAGTCACGCAATTTCAGCCGTAATTCGTATTGAACTAGTACGAAAACATAAACCTAAACGCGCACTTCCGCTGCAGCCTAAGATGAAATTCGGTTCAAAGTCAAATGGTAACTTCAGACAAAATCTACTGGATCATTTCATGGAAAAAGATCTATCAAGAAATTCGGATTTTGTCCGCGTATCCTGAGCTCCTGTCTCGACCCCGCAAATCACGATCAACAAGTGGATCTGAAATGTGATTCTGATTCGGCAGTGAAAGAAAGTATTTCTCCGATTGTTTTTGATTTCTACAGCGACTACGACAAGGACGAGCTAAGTGTAAGTACATTTTCTTAACACAATATGAATACTCACACATGAGTCTCCATTCGTGATTGAAACTGAAGATTAAATTCCGCAACCCCAGTATTGCCCGTAGGTATACATCAGACAAGCATCATAACATGGCAGCGTCAACGACAGCGGCAGCGCAGACCACAAGTAACCCGGTGCACGCCCTCCCGTGCGGCGATGAAGCAGAAGTAGTTGCTCCCGTCCCAGGCGACGTCGATGTCAATGCTTCTGTCCCGCCCCGCAGGGCGCCCGGTCTACCTCGGTCGCAGAAAAAATGGCTGAAGCGACAGCGGGAGGGCGAATCTAGAGCAGAACGCCGGAGGAAACGCAACGAAGGAACGAAAAATGATGCTACAGCAAAAACCAGGTCGTCATGCGCAGATCAGGACACGAATGAAGCGCACAGCGCGAGCTCCTCCGCCGCTGCACAGGATGGAAACGAGAAAAACAGCGGCAAGACCATCTTCAGTACGAAACCAACGTGCGCGCGGAAAGCCGGAAACCAATCGGCACCGACGGAGGAAAAACTTGCGAAACTGGAAAGCGCGGTTGTCAATGGAAGACTAAAGTTGGCGATCAACTGCAGCTTTTGCGCGGACATGAACTTCAAAGAGCTGGTTTCGCTGCGCAAGCAGATCGAGCTCTCTTACGGCGTCCTGAAGACCGTCGAAGAACCCTTCCAGCTCCACCTCACGTCTTTTGACGCGGCTACCAACCCGCTGGCAGCCGCCTGGACTGCGGTCCGAAAGTTCGATGAAAGCGCTGGTGTGAAGGCCAACGGCGTGGTAGACGATGCAGTGGCTGAGCAGGGCTCGGAGGACGCATTGGAGGAGACGCTCAGGGAAGTCCTCATGTATGGAGCGAAGACGAATCACATTCAAAACCCATCGTGTGATGCAGGAGGCGAAGAGCAGCACAAAGACATCGAAACGCGCCCTGCGCCCCCGTCCTCGTGCAGTTCATCGACTCTGAAAGCATCGGCGCCTCTAATCAAGGACAACAGTATCGCGAGCTATGAGGGCAGACGCTTGGCGCCGTTGCTGCGCTCATTGGCCCTGCACAAGTGGAAATTGCACCTGCAGCCAGAGCCGTATTGGGACGCGTTTGAACGTGTCATAATACTTTCACCCGACGCGGAAGAGCCGTTGCTTGACGTTTTTTCTGGCCCTCACAAGAGCCGCACGGAAGATGAAGAAATGAACGGGACTACAGCAACTAACTTCGATGAAAATATCGTTTTCGTCGTTGGTGGGTCTGTAGACCGCACCGTGCGGAAAAACCAATCGCTGAACCAAAGCATGGAAAAGCACGTCGAAAAAGCCGTGCATAGCAGAAAACGCCTTCCGCTCCGCGAGTTCGCACCCAAAGGCGCCGCGAAAATTCTCAACATCGACACTGTGCTGCGAATGCTGGCCATGAAAGCTGCCATGGAAGAGGCGAGAACCACGAAAAATATCGAGGAGTCTTCATCTAAACTGGACTGCGCAACCGAGAACGAGTGGCGAGAGGTATTCCACCAGTGTTTGTCCGCCCGCTTTCTACGACAAACGGAAGCTGGCGCTTAGAGTCAGACCGTTGTTAGATGTGGTGATGTTTGTACGCAGAAGTCAAGCCTGTACGCGACCGAAATTCCTTTGTGCTTTTATCATGCTTTCTACGCACAAGTAGTTTGTACGCGACCGAAATTCCCTAACATTTGACCGAGGTCTGTTGACCACACCGCAGATACGCTGCTGCGTCTTAGTTCGACTAGTTGCGCCGACGCACAGTGTTTGTTAATAGACAAAAGTGCGCATGATCGTTGTTTTTTCGCTCTCTACTCTCCTAGATGCGGTTTGCCGGTTTGACGAGATGAGAGGAAGAATAACCATGGTTTCTCATCGTCAAGAGCGACAGGACCGATTTGGACTCAGCTCCAATTTTTTTCTGAGCGCCGTGTACTTCCCGTGTGAGGACAAGTGGGAGTGTGCTGTGTATGCTTTTCAAGCAGTGTTGTCCGTCTACTTGAATTCGTCCTCTCGGAAATGCCGAATTTCAGTTGTTTCATCTCTGAGATTGGGTTGGCGGCAGCGGTCCTAGAAAGATGGCCGTCGGGACGCCAGCTCAACACAAGGCACGGGTTTGATTCGCTTGCGGCGCTCCGGGGGAACACCGTAATAGTGAGGTAGTAGACAAGACCTCCGACTTCGTGCCTCCACTGCATTTTCTCACCAGGAGACAGTATACAACGGTCTTGCGGCACGGCTATCGGCGACGACGTCCCACACTCTTCACAATGTTGCGCACGATCACCAGTCGAACGGCCATGCCGTCGACTTCCAGCGTTGGTCCGCTACTATTCCGGCGATCGGCGCCGGCACTGGGTAGCAAGGCCATGATGCCCGGTGGGAGTATGATGGAAGGGCACATATACGCGGATTTGCTCCCCGACGACCACGATTTGAAGGGCTACCACGTGACGGGTTACAAGTACTACCTGAAGGACGGAAAAAACTCGAAGGGGCGTATTGCTGTTATTTCGCGATTCTTTCTCTGGTTCCATCGCTTGTAGTAGAAGTACAATGTTAACCTTAACTATGTGGTGATCTACTATCTGTAGTATCTCTCTCGCAACACTGCGCATGTTTTAGTGAATCACAAAACACACTACAGCATGGTCGATGTATTCAATGCGGTTGAAGGAGTGCCAGCAATTCTTCTGGAAGGGTTTTTACACGGATCCGTTCATCATCGATTGGGGTTTCACGAACAACTACAAATTCTTGTATAGCATCATAGTTGTTTTTTATGTTTTTTTATTTCCCGCCAGCGCCCACGCGGACGCGTTTCTTTGTTTCGTAAAGATAAGAAGAGCGCGAAAGGAGCGCACATTCGACGATCACAAATTTTCTGATCACTGATGCGCACAAGCTGCACAAAAAATCCAGCTTGCTGAATCCGCAAATGTACCCCGCGCTGCACTTGACAATGGTTCTCCTCGTCTGGTCGGGGTGCATGTTCATCTCAGAGGTCGCGCTCTGTCCTGATAACCAGGTTATCCGGAGGCAGGAAAGGTAAGGTGCTGCTGCGTGACGCTTTTGATGTTTTTGTAGTTTCCGCTATCACGACAAAATCACAAGCCAACTCCTCGTGGTCTTGGTGTTGACATCTTCCGAAATCAACCTAAACTTGTTCAACACCCAAGTACTACGTAGCCTTACCCTGCCCTGGCAAACACGTATGTCCTTTCGGCGGTATTAAATCTCTGTGAGGTATCACTCCAAGCCGGATTGCTTTCGACTTCACTCGTATGCCATTCCCTACTTCAACCATCGGCTGCGCAACCTGGTGCGCAAATACCGATGGACATTGATCCAGAACGAACCCGACTTATGGCGTTCTCAACTGTTACATCCTCAACTGTTACATGGATTTGTGATGCAAGAATGGCAACAATGAAAGAGGGGACCTTGCGCGTCTTGCATGACAGATTTCGCACAGATTCTCAGCCTGTTGGGCTCTTCGAGAGTTTGTAATGCGAAGCAGCTTGATTGTGTCGATTCTGATTGCAATTTTGCATGACAAATCATGTAACAGTTGAGAATGTAACATTTGAGAACGCCATACGACTGGGCGGACCGTTGTCATTCCGGTGTGCGTCCCGATGGCGCACAGGGGCATCATTTGCCATGGGTACTGCAACAATTTGGGTCATTTTAGACTTGATGGGAAGTTGGTATGATGATGTGGACGGACGCAGCCGCCTAGATCTTGAGCGACATTAATATCATGCTTAAACTACAAATGGCGACGTTTTCTTCAGTTTCTCTTGTCGTCCCACCTTTGTTTCCCTCTGTCTACGAAAAAAATTCAAAACCAGTTGCGGAGTGCGCTGAATCATTGCAGCTACAAATACTACGAGATGGACCCGTTATCCACCAGTTGCAGCCACATCAACTTCGAAAGGATCCATCACGACCTATCATGAGCAAAAACGTCCCCACCCCAGAGTCAAGATGGAGATTTTGCAACACAAACCTAGAAGTTTTGCCCGTCACACATGACAAGTTTCAGGCTGTAGTGTAGTGCAGTTTAGCAAGGGAGTCCGCATAACAACTCCATCTCCTCATCCTGTTTACAGCATTACAAGTTCCAAAACACGATTGGAAGTGCCTCTCTGGGAGATGCGCATCACAAATAATGCTCCAGCGCCTGGGGAGGCTTGCTTCCCCAGCGATAATGGACAATGGCAATGTCGGCGCGGTTGTTTTAGCATCACAAATAATGCTCCGGTACTTGCTAATCTGCATGACACCTATGGGGCAAAAGTAAGGTGATTGCGAATGAGGTTGGATATAGTGGCCGGGAGATGATGGTGATGGGACTTTGGTGTCCGCCTGACCCACCCGCCCGGCGCGTCAAGCGATCTGCGGCCATGGTGAAGTGTGCTTGCGCGTGGTTACTTAGGCCGGGATCGAGGCTTATGCGTATTTTATTGTTTGTATGAGGCGACCTGCCCGGTCGGAGTCGCATAGTCTTTTTATTTGTCCGCCACGTTTTGGTTTTCGTACTCCTTGTTTCATGATGAGCTTTAAGTGGTGGTATTTCTTGCTGCTAGTGCATTATTCGCTGGTGATTCGTTGCCATGTGGATCTTGACGTGCGAAATTTTTGCAACTGTATTTTCACCGTCGCCTGAGCAAAAAGAAGATAGATATTCATTTGTTTCGGAGGCCCGCTCCCCTCCTAGCTCTAGTTTCTTCAGCCGATCCGAAGGTAGTTTGTGTGTGCGCTCTGGTTTTTCGATAACGAGCACTGTTTTGCATGCAAAATCGGAAAACCGCCTCTGATCCGTGTTGTCTGGGGACACGTTGTATGATTTCGAGAACACGCACCTACTAGCCCGAGGGGGTGCGGGAGCCTGAAAAAAAATTTAGCATGACAACTATGGGGCCGTTTGCACACGGGAGGCAAAGTGTAAGTGTGTCGCACTTCTGTTTAGCATGACAAAAGTAAGGTGATTGCGAATGAGGTTGGATATAGTGGCCGGGAGATGATGGTGATGGCACTTAGGTGTCCGCCTGACCCACCCGCCCTGCGTGTCAAGCCATCTGCGGCCATGGTACAATGGGGGGGCAAAGTGTGTCGCATTTTGTTTAGCATGACAACTATGGGGTGGGGACGATTTTACATAGGATACGACCTCGGGTACAAAATCCAGGAGCGCTGGTTGGAAGAAGATGAAATCGTGCCGTGGTTCCAAACCGGGCCCGTCTACCCCGCTTCAGAAGGAGAAGGCGCGGGCGAGGACGACGAGTGAAATTTTACGGTTGCACGGCAACAACTTTGTTGAACACATGGGTATCAATCTGTGACGACAAACGACTGAAAGAGACACGAAAGGAAAACCAACAACGACGGCCAGAATCCTACTTCATAATATTGAAACTACGATCGAGTGAAAAACTTTAACTTACTACTATAATGGATGAGCAAACTACATCCGTGGAAAAAATGCAGTCATGAGCTGGCTCTAGACCAATTCATTCAATTCTCGATGAAGGTCTTGACAAGAGAATCAATGATGATGATAAAATTGGATAAGCCACTGATCAATTTCTCTTTGTCTCGATGAAATATCGTCTTTATCAATTCTGAAATGGGAATTGGTCAATGTTTGGGGGATTCGGATATAATCGGATTGAAAATGCATTGAGATCCAATGGGTCTCTTGTACATGTGATGTTTGTGTTCAATGATCGTTCTTCTTGTTTGTTTTGTTTGTTTGTTTGTTGGCATCGTTCTTCTTCTTGATTGTGATTTCGATAATAATAATATAATCGGATTGATATTTATCAAATTGAAATTCCATCTCTATGAAATCAAGAGAATCTGTATTATCTATCGATTTCATCCAATCATCTTCGATAATTTTGAATTTTATATTATCTTTGCAAATTTCAAAAATTAAAATTAGGATAATTTTCGATATCTCTTGGAAATATATCTCAAGAATTTGAATGGAGAATGAAAATTAAGAAAATTGGAGTTTGGATAGGATTCGGAATTTTGGAAAAATTCTTTTCGAATCAATTGATTCTGTTCCAGGATCTGGATTGATGTCGGATTATGAATATTTTCAAAAAAAAAATTCATGATGAGATTCTTATTTTCTTTCTTTCTTTTCATATCTGGGAATGATTCAATTTGTCATTTTGAATTGATATTTGGTATTTCTTCATTGATATTCGAAAAAAAATCAGAAAAAGATTCATTTATTTCTATTCTGATTCTGAAAATTATTTCTTTCTTCTTTGATGATATCAATTTGATAAAAAAAAAATAAACACATCAAATTTATAGCCCATCCCTCGATATTTATAGATATGTCATAGATTTATTTAACAATATTGATCATCATCATCCTCCTCCTCGACAAAAAATTGCAAGATAGAAAAAAAAAATATATTCTTTCCAATCTCTCTGGAATATTCAGAATCATTTTATATCGGAGATTCGATATGAAAATCCAAAAAATTCTAGATATCGAAAATATTATTCTTCTTGATTCACCTCTAGATCGGAAATGTTGACATCCTCCTCTTCGAAAATGAGAATCCAAATCAAATTCTTTTCATGAATTTCCAACAACAAAAATTTCTTTCGGATTTCAATTCATCTGATTTTCGAATATTATTTGGATCGGATTCAAAATTCTTCCTCATTAATTCCATAATTTTACAGCTTGAGCACTTGTTAAATTAGCGGCCGCGTAAGTTGATTGTATTGGCCGCGTATAACAACACTCTGCCGCCTGCGAGCGGGGCGCATGCGAATGCAAGCGGCGCGGTAATTACATGAAGCCAGCAACATGATGAGCAAGCCCTTCGAAGTGACAGCTTGGGAACGACTCATCTCCACGAGGTGTTGAGAAGCCAGCAACACGGCGAAGAAGAAGCTAGTGCAGCGGTGCGCAACGCGCTGGACAGGTTATACATTTTTTGTTATCCGTTGTTTGTGTTTCCGCGTTTTATGAAAATGATGCTCACGCTGCTTTCTCTTTGTCTTTGTGCATGGTGATCTTCTCAATCTATTTACCAAAAAAAAACCAGCGACGACTCGCAGCCCGCGGCCGCAGGGAGACGGGAACGGCAGCGGTACTGGTGTGGGCGGGCGCAGCACACACGCATGAGAAAAGCGCGCGAGAAGAAACGAATGAGAAAAGGACTGAATGAATGATGGACAGGCACTCTCTGATGTGAGCATCGAGACAATGAGAAGCAGAGGCTTTTTGTGTTAGTAGATGAGCAGTGGCGTCCATAGTGTAGCTGTGGCACAGCGGTGCATATTATTAATACCCTTCGCGCAGTTTCCTGCAACCCTTTCGGTTCTGCATCCTGACGCGCCAAGCGCTTTGTTCTGCAAGTTCACAGGTTCCGACGCAGATCAGCTAGCTCAACAGATGTTCAGATCACTTAGCTCAACAGATGTTCACGATCGCTGGATCTTATCAGCTAGCTCAACAGATGTGCACGATCGCAGGATCATGGGATCTTCATACCACTGAGCGAGAGGACCATGATCCTCAAAACTTGAAGGATCGCCACGGAGCAAGGGGATCACTTTCTTTTTCACTTTGAAGATCTAGGCACATGGAAGAGCTAGGCGACCACAGGAAGATCGAGAGATCCTTGGCCCTTCATGAAGATCAGTTCGCAGGTTCCTTCATGAATCAGACGAGCGTCGCGTGCAGTCGCCGGCTGCATTTTACCACAGCGCGCCCCCGGTGGTACAGCGTTGGGGCAATCAGGAAGATCAGTTTGCAGGTTCCAGGATCCTACATGATCAGTCCGCAGGTTCCAGGTTCCTTCATGATCAGTTCGCAGGTTCAGGGATGTTCAGGGATCATCTTGTGATCTTTACCACAGCGACCTAGAAAGTAGAACGCTATAAGTTAAGACCGTAGAGTAGAGTAGAACTAGAAAGACTTTCATACTTCGCTTTACTTTCTTTGATTTCTTTCGTTGATACTTACTTTAAACTTACATTCATACTTCGCTTTCCTTCCTTTGGCTTTGATTACATTTCATCCTTCGCTTTACTTCCTTTATCTACTTGCGACCATGTCGAAGAGCCAGCAGTCGTCTTCGGCGACTATTTCCCCGAGTGCTAGCAGCTCCCGGAAGGCGACTACCTCCTCGAGTGCCAGCAGCTCCCGAAACGCGGCCGGCGCCTCCGCCCAGAAAGCAAAGAAGACAGCGAAGCTGTCGACGGCCGACTTGCAGAACTGGACATGGGAAAACCTCCAGCAGGTCCTGCAATACATGCAGGAGGTCAACCGGGACGCGACCCCTGCGTGGATTCTGGAGCTGGAGCAGCGCGGGTTGTTTTCTGGCGCAAATGACACAAAGCGGAAATTAGAGGTATAGCCTTGCGCTTTTTCCCCCATTTTGCAGCAATAAGCGACCTCATTGTTTTCATTTTTTCCAAAATGCGACAACTTTTTTTTACAAAAATAAACCACCAGGTGCATGAGCTCGGAGGCTTGTGGGACGACCGCTTCCACGCGGCCCTTGACCGCGTTTGCGAGGAAAGAGGAGAGACAGCCGGCAAGCTCTGTGCGGTCTTGGGGGCGCTGATGTATCTGGACGATGCAGACCCGAAGGTGGAGAATCAGTACAAGAAGCTACTTGATCCGTTTTTGCCGCTGGCGCTTGATTACATCTTCGCGGAATCGCACGAACTGCAGCCCTTCCGCAAATTTTTGGAGGCACGCGGATACCATCCCGAGAAGGACGCAATGAATCCCGAGAAGGACACAATGAAGTACGCCGCATGTCTCCCCTATGTCTACCCGATGCCGTACCTGCAGGTCGTGTTGTTGGTCGAGAGCGCGCGGCTAGTGCAAGTTACCTGCGGATGGGAAGAAATCATGCGGAGCGCGTTCCCGAAGGAGAGACGTCCCAAAGGACAGGGCAAGGACGAAGGACAGGGAGAGGACGAGGACGCGAAGCATAGAAATTTTGACGAGTGGAAGTTCCAGGACCGCTTGTCCCACGCAGGTGGTGGATTGATCGCGCGGTGCTTGACAAACGCCCAGAACACGACGGTCGCGGAGGAGCTCGAGAAGTTCGAAAAGCTGTACGCAGCGCGGGCGGAGTCGCAGGTGCGAGCGGGGGCGTTTTCTTCTTCCAGCAATGGCGCCGGGTCCTCCAGTAGCTCCAGCAGCAGCGGCCCGCGAATTGATCCAGGCACCGGGCTATCAAGCGTAACAATGTCCGGGTCTGGAAGAATTCATGTCTGTCGTGCAGAATAGGCAACATTTTTCTGTGATGCAGAAGCGCAGTTTGTCATGCAGAATAGGCAACACCTAGGAGCTCAGAAACTTGTCATGCTGAGAGAGCATTTGTAGCCTCATCATGAGACGCCACCAAGCGTCACAAGTTTCCAGACCCCGGCATTTTTACTTTTGATATGGGCTCCTGATTGGGAGCGATGGCAAAAAGATCTGGGACGAGACGCGCTACATGAGCCACGCTTTCGGGAACGACTGGGGCCGACGCGGAAACAGAGGGAAGAAGGACAAGGACCCGGGCGGCGGTGGTGGTGGTGGTGGTGGTGGTGGCGGCGGCGGGGGGAATGGTGGGATCGGGTTCGGACAGAAGTGCAAAAAGAGCCACAAAGCAAGGGCCTTGAAGGAAGGGTTGCGCCGCTGGAACGGCAAAGACAACGGCAAAGACAACGGCAAAGACACGCGAAACCGCCCGGAAACGCAGGTATTCTGGTTAGTTATTCATGCTGAACTTTTGACTTCCGCATGCCTTTGATAGCTGCGTTGTGCTCTTCTCATAGTTGAATTCTGCCTCGGCTCTGATAGTTGCACTTTGACTCTCCGCATGCATTTTGACCTTTCATTTTTGCTTACTCCAGGGGTCGATGTCGAACAACTGTCGGCTTGGGATGGGCCTCCTGAGCTCTGCAAACGCACAATTCGGCACTGGTTCAGCATTCTGCTTGAACCAGCTCGAACGGGATATGCAGAAGGACCTGTACCGCCTCGGGAAGAAGGACGAAAGAGCAGTCTGCCCCAGTGGCGCACTTTTTTGCTTCTGTTGTCATCTGTGGCGTATCTTTCGCGATTTGCGGCGGATAGAGGCGCGGGCGGCGCTGGATCAGAGCGAGAAGGACGTGCTGAAGGAGATGAATACCGTTCTGCGACAAGTGGAGCGGTTGGGCCGCGTGCCGCCGTCGTGGAAGAGGACGAACAAAAAGAAGGGGGACTCCGCGCGACTGGTGCCGGAGAAAAAACAGCGACTCTTCCACTGTTTCGACCAGGTTTCCTGGTGTCCCGGGGGCGCCGCAGCTCAGGAGTCCGACGACGAGGAGGAGGATGATTTGTTTGCTCGCATTGATGAGCTCAACCTATGAGCTCGCATGTCGCTGAGCAACAGAGCAGCACCGCAATGCTTCTTGTGGACAAGACGACAGCTCTTCCGTCCTCATGGACAAAACGACAGTTCTTCTGATGGATGCCGTATGATTATGAATTTCTT